AATGTTGAAAAATTTAGATACATCTAAATGCCTAAAGAAAGTGTTTGGGTTACATGATCCTGGGGTCTTTTGGAGTAAGCAGTTTTTGTACAGTGGTCTCGGCAGAAGCCGTGTTATATAATGATTTCAGTATTTCCCCTTTTACTACCAAGTTTTATTTTTTTTCTCTTTAGCTGAAACTGTATGTTGAGACCCTGTCTTCATAGAGTAATCTGGAATGATTTAAAATCTACTCCCTGGGAGCATGAAATTCATCTTCTTTAAGTGTAGCTTTAATATTCTTTTCATTAAATATGTAGTTGTAGACTGTTTAAAATAAAACTTTACAGATGCTAATATCATTTTCTCAAATGCCATCAGCAAACATACTTTCTAAATGCCTCAATTATTATGTATATTCTAATTGGCATTACAGAGGGATAATTAATGATTCCCTGTCATTGCCAGTTCTTCTTTTATACTCAGTACAGTCAAACTTTAAATAGGTCTATTGCCTTAATAAAGATCGTTTAGAATAGCCGTGGGCAAACTATGGCCCGCGGGCTGGATCTGGCCCGTTTGAAATGAATAAAACTAAAAAAAAAGACTGTACCCTTTTATGTAATGATGTTTACTTTGAATTTATATTAGTTCACACAAACACTCCATCCATGGTTTTGTTCCGGCCCTCCGGTCCAGTTTAAGAACCCATTGTGGCACTCGAGTCAAATTTTGCCCACCCCGGTTTAGAAAGTTCTTTGGAGCAGTAGGGCCCCCTGCATATACAAATTCTAGGATAGAATCAGATACAATCAGATATGACCCCTGTGCAGAGAGTAATAGTTTTGAGTATACAAGACTCACCCTAAGTAGTAGTAATGATTATAACAGTGGTTCTCAACCTGTGGGTCGCAACCCCTTTGGCGGTCGAACGACCCTTTCACAGGGTCACCTAAGACCATCCTGCATATCAGATATTTACATTACGATTCATAACAGTAGCAACATTACAATTGTGAAGTAGCAACAAAAATAATTTTATGGTTCGGTCACAACATGAGGAACTGTATTTAAAGGACCAGAAGCTTGAGAACCACTGGATTATAATGATAGACCTTCAACTGTTATTTTTGCATTTTATGTGCTAATATCTCTGTGCCTGTGTGTTTGCATTTTTTTCCTTAATCTCCACAGTGTCCTTTATACGTAAGTATTATTATTCCCATTTCATACATGAAAGAACTGAGGCTAAAAACATTATAAATCGTCTCAGCTTCTTGGCTAACTAAGAACAGATCCAAGATTCAAATCACCCCTTTTTGACTTTCAAAGACTATGTTCTCAACATGGCCCATGCAATTTTATGATGTATTTGAAATTTGAGCTTTATACCCTTGATAGCAACTGTTCACCCCAGTTTGGAAGCTTGGTGCCTCATTACTTTCTTATCCTTTTCCTCCAACTAGGGAACAATAGATTACTTTCATTTGCTTACACATGTTGCCATTTGTAATATAGTGGGGCCTTGACTTACGAGTGTCCTAACGAGTTTTTTGAGATACCAGTCATCTCTTGGCCAATTTTTTGCTTTGAGTTGCGAGCTAAAATTTGGGTTACGAGCCAGCTTCAAATACCCCACCGCTGGTTGGTGCAGCGAACGTCACAGTGAACACCACAACATCAGCCCAGCATCACGTGTCTCACTCATTCACTTTTTGATTTGACATACGAGTAATTTGAGTTACTAGCTCCGTCACGGGATGAATTAAACTTGTAAGTCAAGGCCCCACTGTAGTTGATTGTCAGATGCTTTTCTGTATATTCAGTACTATCCTATCTAATAAAAGAGTAATATGCAAATTAACTATCACTACAACACAAAGATGGCGGTGCCCATAGCCACAAGATGGAGGCGCCCAGTCCTCTCAGCTCTGCTGGAATCCTCCAGTCCTGGGGGGTGGCCACTGAGATCAGGGCCTGTTTGGCCATTGTGGCGGTGACCCGGGAGCGATCAAGCGGGCCCCACAGACAGCAGAGAACCACAGGGAGCAGGCCTAAGCTAGCATCAGAACATCCCCTGAGGACTCCCGGATTGGAGAGGGTGCAGGTCAGGCTGAGGGACTCCCCACCCCACCTCTCCACCCCCTGAGTACAAATTTTGTGCATTGGGCCATATATTTCATATCAACTCTATGAAAAGTAGATATATTTCCCCCTTATATTTCATTATGCAGCTTTAAACATAGCATTACACACTTACATACTCATTACCTAGATTCAGCCATTAACATTTTGCTATATTTATTTTATTACATATCTATAATCCACCCATTGTCATTTCATTTTCTTATGCATTCGGAAGTAAATTAAAGACATCATGAAACTTGCTCTAAATAGTTAGCATGTATATTATTGACTCAAGTTCAATATTTATATATTTAAGTTTTTTATATAAAATTCACATTTAGTGTAATATACAATCTTAAATGTATATTCTCCAGAGTTTTGATAAATGCATACACCTGTGTAACCTAAATACCTATCAACATAATAAAACATGACTATTGGTAGGTGTTTCCTTTTATTCTCCTTTGTAGATGAGGAAACTGAAGCACACAGAAGTTAACTAATAATCTGCCTAAGGTCGCACTGTTAGCAAGTGACAGAATATGACATCAAACTCTGGAAATTTGGCTGCAGGGTTTGGTGATCATCACTACACCACTATACTGCTGATGGGTTGTCCTCTCATGTTCGGTATCCCTGTACATTCACGTATAAAATATAATTTTTATTTTAACACAAGTGTGTAGACACAGAAGTAACACACTTAGGATTAGTGAGAGTAGAAATGCTGTTCTAGACATGCATTGGTTCCTTGCAAGAGGTTTATGGCAAGAGAAACTTAGAAGGAAGGAAGTTCCCTTCATTGAAATAGTAGGGTGGACCTCTGTATAATAACTCTGTCTTACCTGGCATCCTTGATTAATGTTTCCACATATAAATTGACAGGTTCCTAATGAGAATACTGAGGCTCAGAAAAATCCTAAAGTGCCATTTGAACAATAAGGGTAGCTGACGTCCAGTATAATTCTTTATGAAGCATATTTTAGTCTATTAATAGAAAACTGTTCATCTATGTTCGGTATATATAGTACCCTGATACCTCAGTCTCCAAAATAATAGAATTAATCAATTTGGAATTTATAGTTAAGAAATTTGCCGAAACCGGTTTGGCTCAGTGGATAGAGCGTCGGCCTGAGGACTGAAGGGTCCCAGATTCGATTCCGGTCAAGGGCATGTACCTGGGTTGCGGGCACATCCCCAGTGGGAGATGTGCAGGAGGCAGCTGATCGATGTTTCTCTCTCATCGATGTTTCTAACTCTCTATCTCTCTCCCTTCCTCTCTGTAAAAAGTCAATAAAATATATTTAAAAAAAATTTGTAAAGTTTTTAACAAAGAAACTAAGTGTAATTCTTTGGCATAAAATATAAATAAGGATTTGAATACATTATAATAAATTTGATTTCTGGTTTGTAATACTTAGGTGAGTCTTTCCTATGAAAAGAAATTGTGTCTCTTTCCTGAATTGTGCTCATACCATAAGCCAAATCTTAAAAGTTGGCCAGTGCTCTCTGTTCACTCTTCAAATAAGGAAAAGTCAGCTATCACATGTTTTAAAACCTTAAGTTTTGTTCAAAAAGCATTTACAAAAATAAATCAAAGCATTTAGTTAGGAAATCCTAGCCAATCACTAGAGGGCAGAGCAGTACCATACTTTAGTCCTTATTTGAAAATTACTGGTTTAAAAATTGCTGAACATGGGAAAATATATTGATGCACTCTCGAATTGAAATTTCTTTGTATTCTTATTGTCTTGTGTGAAATCCAATAGCATGCTTACACTTATATTAAAGGAGTTTTTCTGGCAGTTACATTGATTGTTTCCATAAAGACATGATTATTTAGACAAGTGTAAGTATTCCTTAAAAGAATACTAATGCTTACAAAGGGTGGTGCATTAAATCATTTCTACTCTATGTACTACCCTGAAATTGAATTGCAGTATAGACTTTAGGTGAGACATTATGAAAGAACAAGTTTGAGAAGTTTATTAGTATTTAAATATAAGAATTTATTGAAATATGCAGATTTTTGATCTTTCAGCTGAAATTTGTTGAATCATTAAGACTTTACAAAGTTGTAAAATCAATGAACAAACTCTAGCGCCCTTTTTAATGTTAAAATTTTGTCAAGTGGATGTTCACCTAATTTCAGTTCTGTTTAAAAACTTCTGTCATTCTAAGATACTTTTATTCTGACTCATTTTTTTTCTGATGAATTTTAAAAGTAATTGAAGCCCTGAGGTAATAAAGTAGTTAATAACCTGAGTATTTCAGTGTCCCCAAAGATAGAAAATTTTATCTTGACAGTGTAGTTTGAATTTTATTTCATAAAACAGCTTGGATTATATATGATTCATTTCCAGTAAAGAAAACGTAGGATACCAGACAAAGCACTGGGTTTTGGAATCAGATTTGGGGTCCCAGTTGTTATGTGCTTACTTGTGACCTTGGGCAAGTCACACTACCTCTCTGAAGTAAGAGTTGGGAAAATGCTTTCTTTCTTCCAGCTGGGTTGTTTTGAGGATTGTGTTTGTGCGTGGGTGTATGCATCTCCAAAGACAAGACTTTTAATAAAGGTGCCTTTTAATAAAGATAAAAGCTCAGAAAAACCTTAGAAATAATTGAGAAATGGTTGATGATATCATACATTTTAGAAACTCGAGGGCACCTGTTACATGAGTAAATATACCAGAAATGTGGTTTCCAAACCCAAACCCCAGTTTAGATTGCTGACTTTCTCCTTGTCTCTGAATGTCTTTGGCTGCCTAATCTCTCTGTAACCCCCACTTCTTTGCCTCTTATTCTTTATTTTACCCTCTGTTTATTTCCATGTTCCCTCTCTCTGTGTTTCTCCTGACTGTCTTTGGTCTCTCTCTGTGTTTTTCTTGACCCAGGCACCCTCAGGAAGACCCCAAGCCTCTAGCGGTACCTGGTATCATCTCCAGCATGTTTATAGATGTGGAGGATTCACTGGGATATTGACAAATACCAGAAGCGAACTGTACCACTGTAGTAAGTCAATAAGCCTTTATTAAGTGACTACTGTTGGTGGTGCTTTGGGAAAAAAGAAGTTAGGGTATAGCTCAGAAGAAATAAACTTGTAAACTCTTCTCAGTGATTCTTGCCAGATGGTCACACATACAAATGAAAACAACAAAATAAAAAGCTGACAAATAAGAGAGATGAGGAAAGAGAGGGTGGGAGCGAGTAAATTTCTTTGGGGCTTCCAAAGCCTCCTCACTTGCCTGAGTGAATTCCTGAATGGGGGGAGGGTAGTGAAATGAGAGTGCTAAATTTTAGCCTGCCAACAGCTAACTTCTTAACCTTTCAGGCTTAGAGAAAGTCAAGTTATGAAAAGTATAGCCAAGTTGAGACTTTCCATAAACATAATTAGTATCTTTTGCCAACATTAATATTTATAGAGTTTAAGGGTAAATTGTGATTGTGAAGTAGTAAAGAGGTGTAGTATGAAATAAAATTAATACAAACTATTATAATACAATCTATGGATACATTTTACGTGCCAAGATGAATTAAAATAATGAATTGTAGTATAACAATTTAGTTTTGTTTTGTGATGGAAATTTATTTTTGCTATTGTATTTTAGACAGTCCTACCTACAGTTGTACCATGGTTTTCAGAGTTGGATATGGTTTGAATCTTATCTCTGCTAGCTGTGTAAGGGTATTCTACATAACAACACAATCTTGGTTTCCTCATATGAAAATATTTATCTTAGAGTTGTTGTGTGATTTAAAGAGAGAATTTTATAAAGTCCTGAGTGCATGCTGGGTACTTGTTATTTGCAGATAATTAAAAAGTACCTTTTAAAATAGCTTGTTAAATGCAGGTGTTATTTCTGAGAGCTTTTAAAAAATAGAAGTAAGCCTCATAGTATTTAGAAAATGCTATGTGTATACAGGGCATATGAATAACATGTGAATAAGATATAAAGAATAGTTATAACATGAATAACTGAATATTTACCACTAACTGCCTGGCCCAGATTTCATCACCTTCCTTAAGTTAACTCATCCCCAACCCTGAAGGATGAGGTAACTCTTTCCTTCTTTATCCTTATATTTTTTTTACATATTTACATTAAATTTTGCTTGTTTTTGAATTTTACATAAATAATAAATACTGTATGTTTTCTCTGTCACACCTATTTTCGCTGCTCAACATCATTATTTTTCTTAAATTTTATTTTTACTTATGCTTGGCATACAATCTATTAATTTTGTGTATACCACATAGTATGTCAGTACTTATATGCCTTACAAAGTGATCACCACAATAAGCCTAGTAACCATCTGTCACCATATAAAGTTTTTATGATATTGTTACCTGTATTCCTTATGGTGTACATTACCTCCCCCTGACTTCTTTTTTAACTAGAAGTTTGTACTTTTTAATCCCCTTCCTTTTTTACTACCCATTCCCTTATCCTTCTCTCCTGTGGCAAATATCAGTTTGTTCTCAGTATCTGTTTCTTTTTGTTCATTTGTTTTGTTTTTAGATTCTACATATAAATGAAATTATATGATATTTGTCTTTCTCTGTCCTACATATTTTAGTTAACGTAAACTCTCTAGATACATTTATGTTGTTGCAAATGGCAAGAGGCGATTATCTCTGTGGTTTTGATTTGCATTTCCCTGCTGATTAGTGATGTTAGCATATTTTTGTATGTCTGTGGGCTATCTGTATGCCTTCTTTGGTAAAATACCTGTTCAGGTCCTCTGCCCATTTTTTAATTGGATTTTTTAAAATGTTGAGTTGTAGGAGATTGTCATATATTTTGAATATTAACCCATTATTGGATATATCATTTGCAAATATCTCCTTCCATTCAGGAGGTTGCTTTTTTGTCTTGCCAATGATTTCCTACACTGTGCAAAAGCTTTTTGGTTTGATGTAGTCCCATTTGTTTATTTTTCCTTTTGTTGCCTTTGCTGAGGAGATACATTTTTTAAAAAATATTGCTAAGTGATGTCAAAGAGATCCTGCCTATGGTTTATTCTAGAAGTTCAGTGGTTTCAGCTCTTACATTTAAGTCTTTCATTCATTTTGATGTAAGAAAGTGGTATACTTTAATTTTTTTGCACATATCTTCCCAGTTTTCCTAGCACCACTTATTGAAGAGGAAACTGTCTTTTCTCCATTGTATATTTTGACTAGAGGCCTGGTGCAGGAATTCATGCATGGGTGGGGTCCACTGGCTCACCCTGGTGGGGGCCCATTGGGCTGGGCTGGCAGGGGTAGGGGCCGTGGGAGGTTGCCTGGCCCTGATTGAACCGGGGAGGGATTGCAGTCAAGGACAGGGCAGGCCAATAGAGGGGCCACGGGCAGTTGGCCAGCTGGCCCTTACCCCGATCAGGGTGTTGCGAGCCGGGCTGGCCAGGGTCAGGGGGTCTGATTGGGGCCGGGATTAGGCTGGTTGGCTGCTGCATTGCGTGTCATAGCCAGCGGTCATTCTGGTCGTTCCATTATTCCAGTCGATGGGTTTTTATATATATAGACTAGAGGCCTGGTGCATGAAATTCATGCACTGGGGAGGGGTGGGGTTTCCCTCTGCCCAGCCTGCACCCTCTCCAATCTGAGACGCCTTGAGGGAGGCCCGACGGCCTGGTTAGAGCAGTGGGACATCCCTCTCACAATCCAGGACTGCTGGCTCCCAACCGCTCCCCTGTCTGCCTGCCTGATTGCCCCTAACTGCTTTTGCCTGCCGGCCTGATCCCCCCCCTAACTGCTCCCCTGCCCGCCCAATTGCCCCCAACTGCCCTCCCCTGCTGGCCTGGTCGCCCCCAACTGCCCTCCCCTGCAGGCCTGGTCGCCCCCAACTGCCCTCCCCTGCAGGCCTGGTCGCCCCCAACTGCCCTCCCCTGCAGGCCTGGTCGCCCCCAACTGCCCTCCCCTGCAGGCCTGGTCGCCCCCAACTGCCCTCCCCTGCCGGCCTGGTCGCCCCCCACTGCCCTCCCCTGCAGTCCTGGTCTCCCCTAACTGCCCTCCCCTGCCTGCCATCTTGTGGTGGCCATGTTGTGGCTACATGGGGGTGGCCATCTTTGACCATATGGGGGACGGCCATCTTGTGTGTTCGAGTGATGGCCAATTTGTATACTGGTCATGAATAATTAGCATATCTGGGCTAATCAGCATATCTCTCTCTTATTATCTAGGACTAGAGGCCCGGTGCACAAAAATTTGTGCTCTTGGGGGGGGGGCGTCCCTCAGCCTGGCCTGTGCCCTCTCACAGACTGGGACCCCTCAGGAGATAACTCCCTGCTGGCTTAGGCCTGCTCCCGGGTGGCAGAGTGCAGGCCCAGTCCCTAGGTGCAGCCCCTGGTCGGGCTCAGAGCAGGGCTGATTGGGGAGTTGGGGAACTGCCCCCTGTCATGCACAGAGCAGGACGGATTGGGAGGTTGCGATGCCACCATCAGTCACGCTCAGGGTAGGGCCGATTGGGGGGTTGGGGCACTGACCCTGTCACACTCAAGGCAGGGTCGATGGGGAGGTTGCGGCACCACCCCATCAGGCACAGAGCAGGGCCAATCAGGGGGTTGGGCCGCTGCCCCCTGTCATGCACAGAGTAGTTCCCATCAGTGGGGTTGGGGCTCCTTACCTTGTCATGCACAGAGCAGGGCCAATCAGGGGGTTGGGGCACTGCCCCCTGTCAGGCACAGAGCAGGGTCAATCAGGGGGTTGGGGAGCTCCCCGCTTTCACACACAGAGCAGGGCCCATCAGGGGGTTGAGGAGCTCCCCTCTGTCACTCACAGAGTAGGGCCGATAGGGGAGTTGGGGCACCGTCCCCTGTCACACACAGAGCAGGGCGGACAGGGGGTTGGGGCGCCACCCTCTATCACCCACAGAGCAGAGCCGACCGGAGGTTGGGGTGCCGCCACTCTCACACTCAGGGCAGGGCTGGTGGGGAGTTTATGGCTCTAACCTGCCACACACAGAGCAGGGCCTTCGGAGTGGGGCGGTTGGGGAGCCTCACCCTGTCATACACAGAGCCGCAGGGCGATCAGGGGGTTGGGGAACTCTCCCCTGTCACGCACAGAGCAGGGCTGATCAGGAGTTTGGGACGTCTTCCCCTGTCACGAACAGAGCAGGGCAGATAGGGAG